CACATGAAGCCCTGTACCCCACAAACACACACACATATTTCCAGGAGCTCTCAAAAGGCCTTTTCCTTTAGAGAGATTTTCTTTTTTCCTGTAAAGAATCTGATTCAAGTCCATATGTCGGTTTTAAACTATGGCTCCATGACTTTGTGCTTCACTACAGCCTTATAATATCGCTTCCCAAATCAGTATTTGCAAATATGAGAACAGCTGAAATGTGAACTGAAACTCAAGAGAAATCGTGTAGGCTGCTTCTGAGTTGTATAAAGATCCCTTTATACTGAGAGAACAGAAGGGCCTTCTAGCTTCACTTACTGCCTACCTCAACTGTGCCAAGATGTGGTGGTGGAGTGTGAAGGGTGTGAACATAAGAACGGCCAGACTGGGTCAGACCAAAGGTCCATCTAGCCCAGTGTCCTGTCTGCTGACAGTGGCCAATGCCAGGTGCCCCAGAGGGAGTGAACAAAACAAGGAATCATCAAGTGACCCCTCATCTGCCAACCACTTCCAGCCCCTGACAAACAGAGGCTAGGAACACCCTCCCTTTCCATCCTGGCTAATAGCCATTGATGGACCTAACCTCCATGAATTGATCTAGTTCTTCTTTGTTAAAGTCCTGGTCTTCACAACATCCTCTGGCAAGGAGTTCCACAGGTTGACTGTGTGCTGCATGAAGAAAAACTTCCTTTGCTTTTTTTTAAATCCTGTTACTTATTTCATTTGGTGACCCTTAGTTCTGATGTTATGGATGTGGGCTCACTTTTTGCTCAATTTCACCCTGAAACGTCACCTCTCATTCGTACAGCTGCAAAATAGGTACTAGAGACATCTGCTGAGTGCAGCCATGGGAGGTTGGACGTGATGTCAGCCACACTGCTCAATGGCTAGGATTTGCCTTACCCACTTCAGCCCCATGAGCTATTGGCTTCGGGGAATGTGGACTCTATGCTGTGTAGAGTTCATTGTTATTGCCACTTCCTAAGGCTGTTTGCAGCCAGTCCAGGCTTGGGCAGGGCACAGCCTTCTTCCTTGCCGCACCATCCTGTGGTCTCTTTGCCGAAGTGAAACTCATTTTACCTCTCAAATGTCAGTGTATGAAAGTTTGGAGGTTTTAATCTGGGGGTGGACTTCAACTACCAATGTGCAGGGGAGGTTACATTAGGGGATGGATATTCGGCACAAATAAAAGGCAAACTGCTAGAGCTAAAAAAACAAACCAAAAAACCCACACCTCAGTGAATCCTGTGGTCTCTTTGCCGAAGTGAAACTCATTTTACCTCTCAAATGTCAGTGTATGAAAGTTTGGAGGTTTTAATCTGGGGGTGGACTTCAACTACCAATGTGCAGGGGAGGTTACATTAGGGGATGGATATTCGGCACAAATAAAAGGCAAACTGCTAGAGCTAAAAAAACAAACCAAAAAACCCACACCTCAGTGATCAGTTTTGCCAAGTCCTATCCCTTGGTCCTGGCATGACGCCAGAAAACATATATTAAAACCAGGACTGTGCTCAAACCCATCTTGTTCATTGGACCAATTCCAAGATGAATATTTTGCAACACTTGTTACACACACAGCGGGTGTGAATCTAATTTCCACCTATGCTCCATAGCTAGCAAAAACAAAGAAACAAATGAACAAATATGATTCTGGGATGCATTAACAGGTGAGTTGTGAGCAAGACACAAGAAGTCGTTTTCCACTCTGCTTTGCACTGGTTAGGCCTTAGTTGGAGTATTGTGTCCAGTTCTGGGCACCGCATTTCAAGAAAGATGTAGAGAAATTGGAGAGGGGCCAAAGAAGAACAACTAGAATTATTAAAAGTCTAGAAGACATGAGCTATGAGGGAAGACTGAAAGATCTGATCTTGTTTAGTTTGGAAAAGAGAAGATGGAGAGGGGACCTGGTAGCAGTTTTCAAGTACCTAAAAGGATGTTACAAGGAGGAACGAGAAAAACTTTTCTACCTCTGATGGTAGGACAAGAAGCAATGGGCTTCAACTGCAGCAAGGGAGGCTTAGGTTGTACATTAGGAAAAACTTCCTGTTGGGGGGTTTTAACACTGGAATAAATTGCCTAGGGAGCGTGAGGAATCTCCATCACTGGAGATATTTAAGAGCAGGTTGGATAGACATCTGTCAGGGATGATGTAGATGGTGCTTGGTCCTGCCATGAGGGCAGGGGACTGAACTTAATGACCTCTCAAGGTCCCTCCCAGTTCTGGTATTCTATGATTCACCAGCTTGCTTACCCTCTCTGACATCTATGTGCTGAAAGTCAACATCAGAGAGGGCAAATTATTATTTCCTCCCCTGTCACCTGACTTTTGGGGAATGCACTTAGCCCATGACTCTTGCTTTGGGAAACAAAAAGAAATTGGATGCAAAATGAACTTAACCAAAGAGATGAATAAGGATTTTGTATATTGCTCACCCCAGCTCGCCCATCTGCCTCCAGGAATGGATGCAGCATGCTAGCCAAATGCTCTGGGAGAAATCAGCAGGTGATTTGCTCTTTCAAAACATAGCCTCTGGCGGTGCAAACCGCTGGGGTAATGCATCTGCTCCGTTAGCTTCCCGACAGCTAGCCTAATGCGCACTGTCCTGGAATAGCATGTTTTCTGACAGGAACCAGAGAGGGATGGGAAAGCAATGGTTTCCATGACATTCAGTACAAATTCTGGGATTTTTTTTTCTTTTGTGAGAGAAAGCAGAGAGAATGCCATCATGGCTGTAAACCCACCCGGTCGGCTGGGCTGTGCTCTTTAGAAGTCTGTTGCTGCTGTCCTTGGGATAATGATCTCATTGAGGTCTGTTGTTCCTCCTTCGCCGTTTCTGTGGTTTTGGAGCTGAGGGCCATTTGAAGTGTTTTATCTCAGCTGCACCTTTGATGTATTTTAGAAGCAAAGAGAACCACAGAGCAGGCCAGAGAAGCATTCGGGTTGGGCAAGTCCAGTGGGAGACCGATGTGTTTGCGCACCTCTCAAATAAATATTTATATTGAGTTCAAAACCCACGATTCATTTCACACACCTTTCTCCGGCAATTTAAACCAATATTTTTTTCCCCAAAGGGAAATTCATTTTTTTTAAAAAATGAGGAATGATGTCATTCCAAGTAAAGAGAAGTTCTTATGGCTGATGTTTTGGGGTGCACTTTACACAGTCTATGGACTATTTATTTGATTATTTTGCTTATTTATTTCTCTTTGCTTTGGTTTTCATAGCCCGCCTGCCTTAGCATCACAGGCTAGTCATTTTTGATCTCCCTGGAATGGCAGAAAGCCAATAATGAACAAAACCAGACAAAATTTTCCAGTCCTTTCCAAAGGCAGGAGGTTTTGTGAGTTTGTTTTTCAAGTTTGCATTATGGGTATGGGGTCCTGGATTTTGAATCTCCCCCTGCCCAACCGTAGAGGACAATTAAGGTGGGTCTACACAGCAGGGCTTAACTTGAAATAAGCAACACAAATTGAGCTACATCAGTTGTGTAGCTTATTTCAAAATAGCTTATTTTGAAACTGGGAGCATCGACACAGCACTTATTTCAAAATAGAGCACTCGTCCTCTGACTTCCCTTACTCCTCCACATACAACGAGGGTTACAGGAATCGGAATAAGAAGTCCTCCAGCTTGGCAGTATTTCAACTGCATGTTGAGATGACCATCAGGACATCTCTCTGCTCTCTATATCTGGTAAGATCCTGGCCCACGTCCTTTACAATCATCTGTCACTACGTGGCTACGTCTACACTGGCATGAATTTCCGAAAATGCTTTTAACAGAAAAGTTTTCCGTTAAAAGCATTTTTGGAAAAGCACGTCTAGATTGGCAGGATGCTTTTCCGCAAAAGCACTTTTTGCAGAAAAGCGTCAGTGGCCAATCTAGACGCGGTTTTCCGCAAAAAAGCCCCAATCGCCTTTTTCACGATCGGGGCTTTTTTGCGGAAAACAGTACTATGCTGTCTACACTGGCCCTTTTGCGCAAAAGTCTTTCTGAAAAAGACTTTTGCCCGAAAGGGAGCAGCATAGTTTTTTCGGAAATGCACTGATGATTTTACATGAGATCGTCAGTGCTTTTCCGGAAATTCAAGTGGCCAGTGTAGACAGCTGGCAAGTTTTTCCGGAAAAGCTGCTGATTTCCTGGAAAAGCTTGCCAGTCTAGACACAGCCCCCGTGTTTAAAAAATGGTATTATTCCTGAAAGCCAGTGTGGATTTCGTGCCGGTTGAGGCACTGCTGATATGATATTTACAGCCAGACAGATACAAGAGAAATGTAGAGAGCAACATCAGGACCTCTATGTGATTTTCATCAATCTGACCAAGGCATTTAACATGGTCAACAGAAATGGGCTCTGGAAAATACTTGGATGAATTGGCTGTCCTGAAAAATGTATCAACATTGTTCAGTCTCTCCATGACGGCATGCTTGGTCACATCCTTGACAATGGAGAAACATCAGCACCTTTTGAAATATCAAATGGTACAAAGCAAGGATGTGTCCTTGCTCCTCTCCTGTTCAACATCTACTTTTCAATGATGCTGTTAATTGCTTTTAAGGACTGTACGTTGAGCATTCCTATTCAGTTTCAAACAGATGACAGTATTTTCACTCTCCGGAGACTCCAGGCTCACACTAAAGTGGTTATTACCACTATAGTGACCTTTTGTTTGCCGATGACTGTGCATTGCTGGCTCATTCAGCGAAGGATGCACAGGAGCTTTTTGATCATTTTGTTACTTCTGTTCACTGTTTTGGACTCACAGGGAGCCTCAAGAAGACAGAAGTTTTGCCTCAGCCTGTTTGGAAAGAGACCAGCACTCCAGTGATTACTGCTGCTGGTACAGTCCTTAAGGCTGTTGACAAGTTCTGCTACCTGGGAAGTGTACTGTCCTCTAGCATAAATGTGGATCATGTTATATCTGCTCGACTAGCCAAAGCCAGAGCTGCCTTTGGAAAACTGACCAAACACCTATGGAATGACCATGGTATTAAACTCCATACCAAGATAGTGGTTTATCAGGCAGTTGTCCTGAATGTCCTGCTGTATGGCTTGGAGTCATGGACAATATATCATCACCATGTTTTGCAGCTCGATCAGTTGCATATGCGTTGGCTGAGGAAGATTGCCCATGTGAACTGGTGGGACAAAATTCCTAACACGGAGGTTCTTAAGCTGTGTGATGTCATGGGCATGGAAGCAATGCTTATGAACAAACAGTTTCACTGGATTGGTCATGTTATGAGGCTGGATGATACATGGATACCAAAGATGGTCTTCTATGACCAGTATGCTCATGGAAAGTGCTCTATTGGTGGTCAACACAAGTGCTATAAAGACATCTTAAAGGCCAATATGAAGTCATGCGGCATATCTGGCATATGTGATCTGGAAACTATAGTTCAGGACAGATTGTCCTGGTGACAAAACATTGTACAGGCTCTTAATTGCTTTGAGAGTCAGCGTATCCAGGCATTGCAGGAAAAGCAGAGGATCTGAAAAGAACATACAGCACCTGCAGTTGGTGGCTTTTTATGTGACGTCTGTAATCGGCTCGCTGATCAACGATTGGTTTAGTTGCTCACCAAAGGCGTCATAGAATCATAGAATCATAGGACTGGAAGGGACCTCAAGAGGTCATCGAGTCCAGCCCCCCGCCCTCAAGGCAGGACCAAGCTCCGTCTACACCATCCCTGACAGATGTCTATCTAACCTGTTCTTAAATATCTCCAGAGAGGGAGATTCCACCACCTCCCTTGGCAATTTATTCCAATATTTGACCACCCTGACAGTTAGGAATTTTTTCCTAATGTCCAATCTAAACCTCCCCTGCTGCACTTTAAGCCCATTACTCCTTGTCCTGTCCTCAGAAACCAAGAGAAACAAATTTTCTCCTTCCTCCTTGTGACACCCTTTTAGATATTTGAAAACCACTATCATGTCCCCCCTTAATCTTCGTTTTTCCAAACTAAACAAGCCCAGTTCACGAAGCCTGGCTTCATAGGTCATGTTCTCTAAACCTTTAATCATTCTTGTCACTCTTCTCTGTACCCTTTCCAATTTCTCCACATCTTTCTTGAAATGTGGCGCCCAGAACTGGACACAGTACTCCAGCTGAGGCCTAACTAGTGCAGAGTAGAGCGGCAGAATGACTTCACGAGTTTTGCTTACAACACACCTGTTGATACAACCTAAAATCATATTTGCTTTTTTTGCAACAGCATCACACTGTTGACTCATATTCAACTTGTGGTCCACTATGACCCCTAGATCCCTTTCCGCCATGCTCCTTCCTAGACAGTCGCTTCCCATCTTGTATGTATGGAACTGATTGTTCCTTCCTAAGTGGAGCACTTTGCATTGTCATAGAAGATGAGATCCATTGATCGACGGCTCAGTCCAAGATTTTGACATTATTTTGAAACAACGACCTGCTCTGTAGACACAGACTAAGTTATTTCGAAATAATGTTGCTGTGTAAACATACCCTTAGAATTGCCAAGGGCCCCCTTACTGGATCTGGCTCCCACATTTCCCCACCCTCTACCCAGCAATTAATACTTCCCTCATCCTACATCTCAGTCTGGTCTCCCTAATCTGCACATCGGTTCTTGTCCATCTCCCTGCCCCCCACATCAGCCCACTCCTTGCTCTTCCCGTCAGCTCTGCCCCACCCAGCCTCACCCTTGCTCCTCCTGGAGTTCTTCACCCTTCTTTGGGGGAATGGTATCAGGGACAGTGGTGGGACCCTTCTTCCTCCCCCTCCAGCTCCAGGGGCTTTTCAAACCTGTCTGGCCCATCCCATGTTGGGTGTTGCAGGGAGAAAGTGGGGCACAAAAGAGACATCCCAAGGGAGGCAGGCGGGCAGAGATCCCCTGAGATGTGGGACTTTGCTCCCACCTCTTTTCCAGCGAGAGTTGGATAACTGCTTCCCTATGGGCTCTGCCTGCCCTGTGTAACAGCCCCGATTGCCTGCTCTTCCCAGGGAGGTGGCAAAAGCGGAAAACCAGAGAAGCTAGAAGTTCGGAGGATGCTCCTGCACCCCTTGGATTGAAGGAGTGATAATAACCCAAAGCCTTGACTTCTGCCTTCGCACCCCCACGACAGCGGGATAGTTTGTATGGTGACTCAGCTGGGGGCCGAGTCGTGAAGAGGAGGTGGCAGTTCTGGAACAAGAGGGACCACAGCGTAAGAGAAAATGTGGGAAGAGCAGGATGTGAAATGCTTGGAAGAGCTAACCCCCAGGACAGCTAGAAGGGGGGGACCACTGGTGGTGAGTGGACTCTATCACAACCCCCCATCGCAGCAAGATAAGAAAGAGGCAGCAAGACCATACTGAAGATCTAGGTCAGTGCCCTGTCTCTCTGACAGTACCACGTGCTCCAGGAAGAAATGAACAGAATAAGGCGATTTTGAGTGATCCATCTCCTGTTGTCCTGTTCCAGCTTCAGGCAGTTGGAAGTTTAGAGACACCTGGACCATGGGGTGGGGTCTCATGGCCTTCTGGGTTAGCAGCCATTAATGGACCTATCCACACACTTTAACTCTTTTTTGAACCCGGTTACAACTTTTCCCTCCATAACATCTCCTGGCCATAAGATCCTGAAGCTGACCCTGCATTGTGTGAAGAAATACTGTTAGTTTTGTCAAAGTCAGACAGGACTCACAGATTTGGCAGACTGCTCTGTTTATTCTGCAAAGCTTTGCTAGAATGCATGGAGAAAATGTGAGTACCATACAAGGTTCAAACCCCTTGATTTTATACAGTCAAAAGGCCAAGTTAACAAGATCAAAGGGTGTGGCAAAACTTCACATTATTAGTGTGGTTAAGTATCTTCATTTCAATATTAAGCACACAGCAATCTCCTGGCTATATCTCCCTGATTATCTGGAATTGCTTCCTGTTTAACACCTAATGTTTCTTTTCCTGTTAAACTCAGGCCCAAATTGGCTAGCACCTTGATCTGCATACCTACAATCAACATTAACATACTTTTCTTCTTCCTCTTAAAAAGACAAACAGAATTCCTTCAACTTATTCAATTATTACAGCACAATTCATCTTTTTCTTACAGTATAATTCTTTCTACTTTCACAGTTTTAAACCTATTGCTCATTAATTTCATGGGGTGGCTATTGCTTCTTGTGTTATGTGAAAGTGAATACAAGAAGCAATGGCCTCCACACCATTTTTATTGTATAGACCACTATCATATCCCCCTCTCTGTGATCTTGTTTTCTAAGAGGACCCACTCTTGGTCGTCTTAATCTCTCTGAGTATGGAATCAGTTGCAGAACCCTAATCATTTTCACTGCAATCTGTCACTTTCGAAAAAGGCGTTCTTCCTCGTGAAATGAGTACTGCCGTCGAAAGAAAAGTTGCATTCTTTTGATTTAATTTCGAAAGAACGCGGCTGTAGTCTAGACGCAGGTGAAGTTTTTTTCGAAAAAAGGCTACTTTTTTCAAAAAAAACCCAGCAGTCTAGATGCGGATCTGTTGAAAATAAACCCTTTTTCAGCAGATCCTGTATTCCTCAAAAAATGTGGCTTACAGGATCTGTCGAAAAAGGGTTTATTTTCGACAGATCCGCATCTAGACTGCCGGGTTTTCTTCGAAAAAACTCCGTTTAAAAAAAAAATGATGGCCATGTTTATGCTAATGAAGTGTGAGATATTTAAATCCCTGCTTCATTAACAATTTCGATGTGCCTAAGCTACATCTCTCTGTCGACAGAGAGGTGTAGTCTAGACACACCTGTCTCCCTGTCTGTCTGTCTGTCTCTCAGAACTGCATGAATCACAGGCTCCCAAAAGGGAGTACTTTGCTGAAATAGGTTGGGTTTGGATATGTGCTTAAAGTTAAGCACATGCTTAAGTGTGTTGCTGACTCAGGGCCCCAAGTAACTTCTTCAAAATACACTTCCAACATCTTCCATTTCCTCCTCCAAAATCCATTCAATACAAACTCCAATACATTTATAGAAACTGTGGTCTGTTAGCAAGCTGCAAGCTGTCTGGGAGACTTACTGCATTGGACACACTGTTGTTGTGAAATATGCCCTCAGCACTTCTTACAAATGAGAAATTGAAAGTTTAAGCTCACCTGAATTGGAAACAAATGAATAAATTCAGTGAAATAGATTGACAGTATTTATTTGCAAGTGGGAATGAAGATAAGAATTAGCTAACAGTTGCAAGCCTGTGTGAAAGTAATGCAAAGCTAACCATAAAACTTCAGATCCAATGTGGGGAGAGTGAGAAGTCATTTAAGTTAAATGTGAGCAGAAACAAGAGGTCTGCAAGCCACAGCAAATCCATTTCTACTGTGTATGCTGTTCAGTACATGGGCACTGGGACTGAAACAAGAGTGCTTTAGTATCAGGTCTGTGATCAGATAGCTAAATACAAATGATGGAGAGAGAAATAAGCACCAATTACTCCATTCCCCATCCCCGTTCCAATTTTTTACGCTTTCCATGTGATCACCCTAGTTGTGAGTGTGCAGTATTTGAAGCTTGACCTGTTGTGTTTAGACATACAGGTCACATGGTGTGGGTTTCTGTTCCTTGGTTGGATGAGAAATACTTCTTCGAATTAGGTAGTCAGTTTATTCCTATGTATCCAAATGCAGGGCCTGCAGCACCTCCCTAAACGAGGAATCAATGGTACATTAAAGGAGAATCAAGCTGTCAGCATTGGCTTTTGTGAATATTCTGCAGTATTCCCTTAACATTTGCAGTGAAGAATATTCCACTTAGTAAACACATTCACTGAATTATTCACGGAAAATGAAGATAAAAGGGAAAGGAGTCTAAGTACATCGATTTTAAAATGCAGATGAATATTTGCAAAAAATGTGGGGTGTTTATTTACCCACTGCCTGTTCTTGGTGCAGCTAAATATCCACTGGGAACTGGAGTGTGATCATCCAATACATTTCCTAAATAACTTGGTCTGCAGTTTAGAACTCTTAGGGTACGTCTAGACTACATGCCTCTGGCGCCGACAAACAGCTGATCAGCTGTTTGTTGGCTCAGCGCGGCAGCCATGTAAATTTAAATGAAGCGGCGATTATTTAAATCGCCGCTTCATTTGACTATGTCCGGTAGCCTAATCTACATGCCT